ACCCCCTTTTTTTTTCCCCCCCCCCCCCCCCCCCCCGCCCCCAAGGGGGCCGAGGAAAACCTCACCAGCGACGAGCTCTGGCGCCTCGCCTCCACCGCGACCAAGAAACGATTCCAGATCCTAAGCCAAGACCTGGAAACCCGCCGCGCCCGGCTAGACCGAAGGCTAAGGGACGAAAAACGCCGCAAGCCTTCGTCGAAAACCGGCGCGGGGGGCAAGGGCGGCCGCAGGAACGGTGCTGGTACCGCAGCAGCAGCGGCGGCGGCTAGCGGGGATAGGGCGGCGGCAGTGGCGGCGGCGGTGGCGGCGGCGAAGAGGGAGCGCGTGAAGGGCCTGAGCGCCGACAGCCACGCACTCCAGGACGTTCATCAGTTGGTGAGGATCTAGAGTCGGAGTTGGGTCGAGGTTTTGGTTTATCTCTTCCCGCATTTGGGCGCGTATGAACAGATTGGTTTGGAACGCGTTCTGAGCACGGACAGCCACGCTCTTGAGGACGTCCAGCAGTTGGTCAGGACGGGGGGGGGGGGACAGAGGCAGAGTTGGGATGTTTATTTTTTGCTTATGCGAATTCGCGTACGTATTGATTTAAGAGTATCTGAGCATGGACAGCCACGCTCTTGAGGACGCCCATCAACGAGGGATGAAAGCGGGATAGAGGCAAAGTGGGGTCATGTTTTTTTCCTTGGCTCTTGCCGGATACGCGTACATTGTGGTTTGGAACGCGTCGCTTCAACGGTGGGTCTTGGCATGATCAACAAGAAACGAAACAATAGTAAAATCCCGTGCCGTGTAAAGAGGGGAACGAGAGAACTAATTCCCACCTCTGCCTACCTGGGCCCTTTTATTCAACCACCGACGCTCCCCTCTCGTCCTGTTCTTGCTCCTTCTGCTTTACCACTGACGCGTAATTTTCCCCCCAACCAGATAGAAACTCCTCCAACCACTGCTGTGTCCTTTGATTCTCTCACCGTCACCCCCTCTCATCTCTATCCTACAAAACCTCTGCTCTATCCATCGACGCTCACGAGACAGATCGACACCATGCTCACAGACTGGGACGTGAAGATCACCGGCGACGAGGGCCCCGCCGTCGTCGACCCGTCCCCCCCCCTCAGCACCGCCTCCAGCGCTAACAGGAGGGGGGGAGCCTCCCCCCCCGTTCCCGCCCCCGTCCCGCCTCCCGCAAAAGAGTCCTCGTTGGCAGGGGTCGGAGGTCCCTCAGTTGCAGCGGCGGCGGCGGCGGCGGCGGCGGCGGCGGCGGCGGCGGCGGTAGGT